AACAGTCTTTTCTCCAATTATCGATGATCTTTTTCGCGCGTACCGCGAGTATCGCGTTACGTACGCCTGACAACGAACAAATTTCAATTCCAGTTAAAATTTTAACTCGTCGTTAACGACGTCGAAAGGTACGACGAAACGTGAAATTTTACGATCGCGGTGCCGAATTCTGAGAAAACAAAGCAACGAGGAAATTTAGCAATTTTTTGCGATCAGTCGCCGGACGAGTTTAGATAGATTCGAGAATCAGAGAAGCGGGGGGAGGGGAGGGGGGATACTCGGCAAAGATACACACGCGTTTCAACGAATCGAGGAGAAGGAGATTCGCTAGATTCCGGTTTTGAAACTAGAAGCCGACTAGAAGGGTAAATGCCGATGTAGAAGGGATAAAATCTGAATTTCTCATACATATATAAAACAGGTACAGGTTTGGTTTGAAAAACATTGGAGTACTTTGTCCGTAACGAGGCAGTTCATAATCTCGGCGAGGCAAGTATCGCCTACTTACACCTATCTGTTCTATTCGCGTAATCGCGACGAAAATTTCGTTCCCCAGACGAGACTGTTGCGTCTTCTCGCGCTGATGGCATTGCTCGTCGATCGTATTCGTACGTTGTCGTTGGCCACGAGCGAGGAAAATCGCCTCTCCGTTATATACCGCAACGAAGAGAAAATCGACGAAGGAAAGGTAATCCGCGCAAAGAGAGCTCCCCTGCATAAATTGCCTTTGCTCGCAGGAGCAGCTACAATCGGTAAAAAAGCACTTTTGCTCGGTGGTGCTACCGTCGGAGCAAAGGCTCTCGCTCGGTGGAGCTGGAGTTCTTGGAGCTGGTTCGTACAAAGCTAACTAGCAAGTAGATATATACACATGTATATTTCCAAGACGTTTCGTTCGTTTCCTGGTATCTGCGATCGATTTATCGGATTTCTCGTTGCTCGACGTCAACGAACGTATCCATCCACGTTTTCTGCGAACGCTTTGCGCGTGTGTCATCAGTTATGGCGGCGGTTACGGAGGTGGACGTGCAAACTATCGCTACGTGCCATCCGCTGCATCGAGTCGGGTCCGACGACTCTATGGAACGTATTCACGAACACGCGACTACGTCAACAACTTTACGTTCACATCGACGACTCGACTCGTTACACACATACCTCGAAAATAATCTTGCTACCCAACGAATACGATTCACGAGAGAAATTAGCATCGAGCGTTTCTTTTCGCACTCCAATTGTAAGACACGCATCTACGTACACTCGACACGCGTATTTGCACACGATACGCGTAATTTATTTTATTTGAACACGTTACAAATAAACGCGTTAAAATAAAATAAAAACATACAACACGTAAGTAAGTAAGTAAGTACATTCGTACGTCTATGAAAGTGTACAGTTGGAGCGAATTACAAATAAATAAATAATCAAATTTGACTCGTCACGATCAACGTCAACGACGACGAGAACGTCGACAAAAAGAGAGAGACACAGATAGAAAGAACACGATTCAATCGGTTCAATCGTTCAATCGTAGCTGTAACAAATAGGCAGTAAATAATAATCGCACGTTGAAATCGTAGCGATTGTTATTTAAGAGTTTAGAGATCTCGTAACTGGCGACGATTAATCGTTCGAACGACGATGAATCATCGGTGGTTGGAATTCGTTGTTGGGAATATTCGATGCTCGTTCGATGAAAAATCGTACGATGCCAAAAGAGAGTCAGTTAGAAAACGAGACAGTTAGAACTCGGAAATACGAATAACAAAGATTAGGCAATCAATCACAGTTGGTGCTTCAAAAGAGGTGTTTCAAAGATTCATGGGATTCAAGGATTCAAGCAGGCAGTTAAAAATGTTGCCAGACGGATTCGATTTCGGATCGACGAGTAACGTAACGATTCGAAGCATTGCAAAAGCAAGCACTTTCTCGTCCGTCTTTTCTCTTCTAATTTTGCAATTCTCTCGTTCTCTCGCGATTCCGTCTACTCGCTATTCTCGTCGCGTGTGACTCCGTTACCCAATTCATCGAACGATCGACATCTGGAAACGTCGCAAGTAAATCGAAAACGACGCGACTGGTTTCATTCATTATTATTCGACCGCTGTT